AACACTGCAGCCTGACCAGAAATGCTGCTGCCGCTGCCAGCCAGTTGATTTTAAACTTTGGGTGGAGCAGGAACCAAAGGTAGGTGCGACTTCATTTCCCTGGACCTACCCTTGAAACCAGCCCACACAAAAGTCTGGAAAGGGAGTGGAGCCAGCAGCACCGGGGCAAGAAAACCTGCCCTCTTCACATACCAGGATCCAGCAGTGAACACGGAGCTGACAGCAGGGGCTGCCCTGCAGCCAGAGTAGATGTGCCTATTACGCAAAAAGTGGGTGGCCTTGAGTAGGCACCTAACCTCACAAGAGGATTTCCTTCTCTGAGCCCACCTGGCCCTGAGTCAGGTGTCAGAGAGCAGCAGGGGTTCAGACCCATGGATCATCTCTCCGGAGGCAGCTCCCCACAAATGCCTCTCTCGTTGACTGTGTGGGGAACCAAGTGCCTCACCTCATTGCCTTGATTCACTCTCTGGGGGCCAGGTGCCTAATTCTGGGGTGTGGCAATGCCAGGACTACAGGTGTCCAGTCCAGATGTGCCCTTTTACACTTTCAACTTAGTACATGGCCAATGCAAAAACCTGGACCATGACAGGCTCCCGGGTCATGTGCACGTATGCCGTGTGACATCAGGAGCTTCCAGCAATGCATGCTTAGTACACAACCAGCATGAATACCATGAACAGAGGAGCACCCTGAGCAGTGCCTGCTTTGCACGAGTTCTGCCCTGTCCTGTGTACCCTTGGCTTCAAGTACCCACTCTGCATTGTTGCCTGGCCTGTTAGGTATCCTACCAACACAGGTGTTTGCATGATGGGAGAGAAGAAAGCTCCCTTCGAGGCCAAGGAAGCAAAGCCTTGTCTTTCCAGTGCAATCAAAGCATAAATAAAGCATAATGCACAAGAGCTGAAGACAGCAGACATCTATACCTAGTAGGGAGAGGGTGGTGAGAGCAGAATGTGCTTAATAAGGTGGTCAGGACTCGTAGTAGAGATGATATCTTTTATTAGACCTTATAAGGCGGTCCATGGGAGCACAGTGGGCAGGACTGCTATGAACAGACCATTCTCTCTGGGGCTGCCGGGCAGTACAGGGTGCTGTAGCCAGAACCCAGCCTGCAGGTTCAAGGGAGCAAAAGTGGAGGGTTCCCACACCAGGCTGGTTGCCCTCTCAGGTGGAAAGTCACTGGACGTCGCCTTGCTGCACTTCCCAGGCACCTTCCTGCCACCCCTCCTTCTTTTCCTTTTGCTGTCAAGGATAACAGATGTGGGGTGTCAAGGACACCCCCAGTGTCCCTGACAACTTGCAACCAAAAGGCAAGAGAAGTAATGAAAGGCTCTCGCTGAGTCTCACCTTCAAAGGAAAAGGCAAGTGTGGGGGTAGTTTGACCCACGCCATGGGGATGTTGTTTGCAGAGCCTCTTCCTGCTCAAGGAGACCTTGATGGTGACAGTTCTCCAGCCTTCCTCCCGGGCTCCCTGACCCACTAGGCTGGATCCTAATGGGTTATCTAGTGGGTTGCATGCTTGTAGGCTGCCTTCCAAGTCTTTGGTCTTGGCTGGTACCACACCATGTCCCATTGCTGGCCCTGCCCAGCCAAATCACTAGTGACAATGTCCTACACTTCGTAATTTCTGTGCCTATTCCTGAAGGAAGCCTGCACTTTGACCTCATCTCACAGGGCAGGACCTCTGCACAGGCCTCAAGACAAGTGCGATGCATAGGCCTAGCAAAGATGTTAACATCTGCATTTGAGCCTCCTGGGTGATGACTGGAGCATCTAAGCAGAGGGGAAGAGCATGGCCAAGAGCCAGGATATAAACAAGCTGTCAGCCAGCTTCCAGTGTCCAACTGGGAAGGGTGAGAAGTATTTTGGGAAGGTGAGGGGCCAACCACCAACACATCTGAGCGTGTACCTGAACAATCTTCAGAAGTGATTGCTCCTGGGTACACATTCTGGATTCGCTTTGACACAAGGGTGTTGGATGCATCATGTAGACACTGCTTTTTCCCCAGAAGCAAAGGTTTCATTCAGACCATTATAAAATGATGGTGTAGACTTGCCATAAGATGGGCTGAGGACAAGGAATACAAGAAGATTAACTCAAATATCTTAATTCCCAACAGATTTGATTATAGGCAAGATCCAGACCTTGGTTAAATTGCACTAAATACAAAATTTACCTGTAAGGAGGTATTTTGTGTCAGCCAGTTACAAAGCCAAACAGTGCAGGGCTAGGGCCTGGCCAACCCAGCCCCTTGCAAGATGTCATTAAAACGCTGGCATCTCTCTCAACAAAGGGATGGAAACCCTGCCCCACACAATGGATCAGGCCCTTGCCACGCCTAGCCCATGCACCGGATCCAGCCCACGGATGGACCTGGCACCACCCACTTGGCGCACAGGGCAAAGAAGCTGGGACAGGATCAGCCACATCAATCAATCTTTATCTGGAAAGGTCCTGGGACTGCAAGTTAGATGCCAAGAGGTCTAGTCGCAGCTCCATCACTGCTTCACTTCCATGCTAGCACCTGATGAGCATCCCCCTCTGTCCCAGAGATGCTCCAAGAGCCAGACCGCCTCCTCTGTGCTGAAGGAACACACATAACAGCATCACAACCCAAGTTTAACTTGAGAAACTATTTTATTGTTATTTATCCTGCCAAGGCATCTTACAAAACACTCTTGTCGTGAGAGCACGGCTTCCCCTTGACAGGCACCTCTCACTGTGGCTTTACAGCAGCCTCATATGAAAAAAATAAAATCCCATGCTGCCTAAAGCAAAGGCGCTCGTGCGCTTTTACCCTGTTCAGTGGCTACAAAGCAACTGTTTCATGGAAAATAGATCTATCCTGCAAAAATAACTGCAAACCACAAAGGACTGCAAAAATACAATTAAAAAAGAGCACGGAAGCAAAGAACAAGAGGAGGCTAGTACTTGGTTTGACTGGTGGAGCATGAGCCACTCCAAGGATATGCTGTGAATTATGTTGGAGAAAGTGTACATAATCACTGTGTACACTCCACCTCCTTAGCACACTGATTTTTAACATCTCAGCTTGCTTTCACATGGTCAAATGCACTCTCTCCCTTGCAAAGCTCATCCCTGGCTTCCAAAGAATTGACCTCTCCCTTTGAGTTCCCTCTTTATGGTAACAAACATCAGTTTCTCATAATTAGAAGTAAAAGATTTGAGATGTTTGTGCCATTTGGGGATAAAGAAAAGCTTCCAGGATGAAGTTACTCTAGAAAAAATCTGCATTTCCTTACACAGGTAGCTTTCACAAAGCATGCCTTACTGCTTAGAAAGAGGGACTGAGAGTTCGGACTCCTGGGCTCTCTTCCTAAGCCTGGTACAAGCCCCAGTGATTGCTGAAGGGGGATAACGGCTGCACACCTCGCTCAGCCAACGGGAGGCTGAATTTATTCGTATGTGGAAGATGCACAGAAATTCTCAGAGGTGCTACACAAGTACAAACATCTACAGCCCAGCTCTATGCTGCAAAGTGACTGTGTAACAGCACAGCCGCATGGGCTCCCATGTTACTGTGTCAATCACCCGAGAGCAAAGTCTTCTCCAGTTGGGAGTGAGGAGAGGGCTGCTCTCTCTGCCAGCCCTGCAACCCCAGCTGGGCTCTGGAAGTTGAGCTGGGCTTGAGCATCATTTGCAATTTGCAGACCTGCAATTCCACCGCTGATGCGAGTCAGGCTAGACCCTAGCCCACCCTCCTGCTAAGATGCAAGACCAAACCCATCTCGTAAACCAAGTGGGAGTCACAAAACACTGGGGACACCAGGGCTAAGATCTGCACGGGTATTAAGGTGCCTCAAGAGGCTGATAGATTTTTATTTTTTTTTTGGAAAGCCCAGTAGGGACAGTGGGAAGCCATTTACTGGCTTTGGAAATCTAGCTCCTGGGAGGGGAAGGAATGGTTACCATTTATTTTCTGACCATTACAGAGCAGGTCGGTAAGTGCCACGAGCAGTAACAGAGATGGGTGGATCTAGGATTTGGAGAAGGGAGGTGTAGATGGCGAGGTGTGTCATCATCACATATACCACAGCACATATTTTTCTCCAGGTGAAAAGAAACTGGAAGCTTTACTAATATGCAAGAGCCCCTTGTAATACTCAGTTCAAGATCAAAGCAAAAACAAATATAACTTTATTAGATGAATTAAAAACAGTCTGCAGAGCTGTGAAACAGGAGCTATATTACCAGGAGCCACTACCAGACAGCTCAACTGCAGAAGAGAGGCTGGCTTAATTAGTGGACCATCAAGGAGAGAGGGTCAATCACACCGGTACAGTGAAGAGTTTAGCAGGAATCCGGTAATTTAATGAGGCATGAATTCAACTGATGCTCTCATTGTTGCTTAAATAGAAATGCTGCTGCCACCACCAGGCAGCTGGTTTTAAACTTTGGATGGAGCAGGAATTAACAGGAGGGGCAGCTGCGCCAGGGCACCCCCCCTGGATCTGCCCCTGGTAGCAGACATCCAGCATTGTGATGATCACGACCTGGCTTCACCACTTCCCCCTCTATGCTGACACACTGGGTACTATACAATTTTAGCTGCCCTCCCTCACATTGTCATCTCACTGGTCTCGCTGAAGACCCAAACATATCCCTCACTGGCTGAGACAGTGGTGGCTAACCCTGCGGGCAGGCATGCTGCAAATTAGGCTCAGCCCTCTCCTTGTGTGCCGCTCAGATCCCTGCCCCAGTGGTGTACCTGATGGGGGTTTGCGCCCCAAATGCTGGAGTAGAGGCAAGCAGGGGAGCAGATTTGATCCTCTGGCTGTGTGGAGCAGGTGCAGGACGCTGTCGTGAGAGGAGGTATCACTGCTTAGAGCCAGATTAAGTCTTCCCTGGCCCTGTAATTTTACATGGCAAGGACCCACAGCCCTGAATGCAGCAGGGTGTGACCTGCCCTTCCCTCCCACGACAGCTTGCAGAGCTCCTCCCAGTGAGGTTAGGGCGGCTAGGAGCTGGAACCAACTTCCAAGGGAAGTGGTGCTGGCCCCTACCCTGGGAGTCTTTAAGAAGAGGCTGGATGCCTACCTGGCTGGACTCATTTGAGTCCCGTTTCTTGTTTTGGGGTTTTGTTGTTCTCCCGCCCTGGCGGGGGGTCGGGCTAGAAGATCTACTAGGTCCCTTCCGACCCTTAATCTATGAAACTATGAAACT